CAACGGTCACTCTGGGATCAGGAATGGAACAGTATTGTCTTTAGTGACGAGTCTCGATTTTGTTTAGGCATGCACGATGGTCGTGCCAGGGTTAGAAGGCGACGTGGTGAAAGGAGGAATCCACAGTTTTTTGTTGAAAGACATGTTCATCACACTGTTGGAGTTATGGTTTGGGGTGCTATAGCTTATGGTTCCATGTCACCTTTAATCTTCATCAGAGGTGACATGAACGCGCAGCGTTATATCCAGGAAGTTCTAGAACCCCATCTTTTACCCTATCTTGACACCTTGGCAGATCCAACTTTCCAACAAGATAATGCCCGACCACATGTTGCAAGAGTCACAATAGACTTCTTTCAACATAATGATGTCACATTGTTACCATGGCCACCAAGATCTCCCGACTTATCCCCAATTGAGCACGTGTGGGATATGATGCGTAGGAGATTGCTCAATTTGCAACGTCCTCCTCAGACTCTAGAAGCACTTCGAGAGGAGTTGGTGGTTGCCTGGAATGAGATACCACAGGAGGACATTGACCACCTGATCAGAAGCATGCCTAGGCGCGTTGGAGAATGCGTAGCACATCAGGGTGCATCCACACATTATTAAAGGTCAAAGGGCTTTAAAGCAGTGCAATCATTTTGAAATTTTTATTATTTACTTATTATGCTTCATTAAGTACTTATACAAAATTTTATTAAAATAAAACCATTTAAGCTGGGTGTTCGGATTTATATGTCACTTAGTATATTTCGCTGTTGCTCAGGTAGAATCTCTTTTTCACTTTTTCTTGAATTTAAGTAATGGATTAGTTTCTTTTAAACTCCGTATACAAATGCATTCTCAAATAGAGATGCTGAGACGTGGAATTGCAAAATTCTCTCTACAGGGTGTCCCGAAAAAAGTGTGCAATCTTCTACCAGCGGTTTCTAGAGCTTAAAATAGGAAGAAAAGTTTATATAAACATAGGTCGACAAACGCCCCCTAAGGGCGTTACGGTCTTTTAAAGGGGCTCTCCTGAAGATGGTTTTTCCTTAATATTTCCGAAACGTGTTGAGATAAAGACATAAAATTTTGTATTCTAGCCTAGTTTTTTATGTTGGATTTAAAAATATTAACAATTTTAGACAGTTTTGTTTGGAAGCGTATGTAACAGGGACGGACTCAGGTTATTTTAGCCCCAAAATATTTGTGTGATTCTATTTTTGAAATTCAATTTTAGAATTTGAAAATTTAGGGTTTTCTATATAAAAAAGGTACTCTTATTGAATATCGATAAATTGTTCCATTTTTTCCAAAGTATCCAATCAAGATATGTGGTTTTATTTATTGGCCAGCAGATTGATATAAAAGTCTCGTCAAATTCTGTTCAAATCAGTTTCTAAGCTAATGTAATGATTGTTTTATTTTGAGACTGTCAACTCATGTAGTTTCTTAGTTTATATGTTTTTGTTTTTTGGGACTGGCTAAGAGAATGTAGTTATGCAATTAATATTTTTTGTGTTTTTCTCATGATTAAGAATTTTATTTTGATTTACATTCAGTTTTATACTTTATAGAAGTCGTAACATATTTGTTATTGTTATGTTTTTCATGAAGATGTATTTTTTGTTGTTTTGTCTGAAATTGTTGTGTAGAAAAGTCTGTGATAGATTATATTATTTTGCATTTTTGTTTTAATATATGAAGATTGCTCTAGCTTAGTTTGCTTTATTTACACTTTGATTTCGTATGATTCAAAATTGAAAAAAATTTTATGTACTTTCTACAGAAATTACTGCAACAAATTCATATGTCCATGCTTTTAATGTTAAATCATTATAGCACTTCAGTACGCCATACTGAGAATTTACTTTCTATTTTACCCCTCCCAGACTGAAATCCTGGGAGCGCCACTGGATGTGCGGGTTGATATCTACATGCATAGAGGTGTTTTGCGAGATGTGCGGTTAGCCATTTCCGGATAGATGTCTAGCAAGACATGCATTTGGCGTGAAAGAGAAATGAACAGTGAGATATCAAGCTTGATGTTTGACATCAGGCGCAGATCCAGAATCACGTCTTAAGGGGGGGGGGGTAAGTAGTGTGGGTTGCCTAGGTACAAGGAGTGCTGTCAAGTCGTTTGCGATTATTATAAAGTCATTGACAAGGGAAGCAATAAGTAGCAGTGTAAAAACAGGCTGCATACTTTTTTAAGATATACTTTTCTAGACTGTTCTCTCCTTCTTTCCCCATTCCTCATTTTTCCCTGAGGCCTTGGGGAGGCAATAGCACCACTGCCTCCTGGATTCGCACCTGACAACATCAGGCCTGTAGCTATTCAGGTGTGAAATAACGAATAGGCGTTCACTGTCGGGCGTCGACGGGGTGACGAGACAGGTAACGAATAGGGTAACAGACCGTCAAATACAACGAATGAGCTTCAAGTTCCAATCAACAAATTTTAGCAACCAATAGCTATGAAATGTTGAAAACAAAATACTGTCAAAGTATGAGATAGCAGCTTGTCATTGAAACATCACCAGCTGATTGAATATTAAGAAATTACATATAATTCGGTCAAAATTTAAAGAAATGTTGGATTTTTGAATAAAATTCATGTTTTAATTACTATTGTCGATTTTTTATTCATGTTTATATTATTTTCTTCAATATTGATGACAGGCTCTACCAAAAGATATTGCTCATTTCCAAACATTCATTCATTTACTTGCCGTTCATCGGAACCATTATGGCACCTTAGATTGATATTCCCACAAAACCATTCAGGTTTTTTGATATCCATACATCCATAAAGTTGAATATTTTTCGTTGTTCAGGAACTGAACAAACATCCACACTATATTCACAGCGATTAAAAAATTCCCAAATATATGCCTTAAAGCTACCAGCAAACCTAAAACCTGCAAAAAACTACAAATTTGCCATATTTTTCTAGCAGCTAGAAAATCGACCTATTATTTGCCGCATTCCCATTCGCTGAGGGGATAACGGATTGTTAAATGTAAACATATAACTTATATCAGAATACATGAAAGTTGTCCTGTTTTTTCTGTACAAAAGCATCATGCTGGAATCAAAAAGTGGTCTTGTTTATAATACAGTCGAATTTTCACGATTTTATTCAACATTTCAATAGAAATCACTGATATTCAGAGACCTTTGACAGCTTCTGTCAAATGTCATTCCGATAAGGTATTTTCCCATTGGTCCATAATATTAATGTTGGTGAAATTGGGCCTTAAAGTTGCAAATCTAGAGGATGTTTGTGCTTGTTCTGGGGGAATTCTGTTTGATCCACTTGGCAACTGCGTAGCGGCCAAACCGAAACCATCACGCGGCGGGCAGCCCTGCGCCGCGTTTTGTTGGGCCACAACAGTCAAATGCCTTCGTGTACAAAACTAGTTTGTTTCGTCCAGTCATTATAAGAAATTATTTTAATATAATTTCGGTGTTTCCATGAACTAGATTGTAGGTAGTGTGTCGAACACCGACTGTTTGGCTTCTCATGCCGACGCTGAGACGAGCGTACAAATATTTTTCATTTCGGAATGAAAACAGTTGTTAAAGGAAAAATTATAGAGTGAGATAATGATTTCTAAGCTTTCTATGATTAGTTTCGGTAATGTGATGGGTATTTACGGAACGTTTGGTATTGATGTTTGTCACTTATCCTAACGGTTTTTTCATCAAAGTTTGATGATCGAATGTTATTGGAAATACTTATTTTCAACAGCGGCGGATCTAGAAGAGGGTCATAGGGCTCTTATGGTACGTGTACACTATAGATTTTTCCCCGAGATTTGCGCTAGCTAGAGACGCTTTAGACTAAGTCTATAGTGTACATATTACTGAGACTGCTCTAGCGAGTGTGGCGTAATACTCTCCGCGACGTTAGTCTAGGTAGGTTTGTAGTGGACACAGTACTGAGACTAGTTCTCTAGATCACTCTGGCATTGTTTCGCTCTATTCGATGAGTTAAATAGATTAGTTGAAAGCATGGCTTCCCCACCAAGTGTAAATGAGCAAAAAGCTATGAAATGGGACAAAGAAAGTACTCTCAAGCTAATTCAGATGTACGAGGCACATCCAGAACTTTGAAATTGCATATTGAAGGAGTACAGAGATCGGGATAAAAAGGCTCAAGCTATAAAAAATATAGCAGATCAGTTAAAAACCACTGAAGCCGAAGTTGGAAGAAAATGGCATAATTTAAGGTGTCAAATGTATTCGGAGATAAGGAAAATTAAAAAAACCAAAAGTGGAGATGGAACTGATGACATACTGTGGAAAAGTAAGTGGGAATTTTATGATGCGTTACAGTTCATGATGGGTTGCTCTGGGAGCACCAAAAGCACTGCGGTGAGTAAACATTTTTTCAGCATTAGAAACATATATTTAAAAAGATAAAATGGTATTATGTTTATATACAGGGTGACTTCGAAGTTGAGTCATTTATTTTAACAGTGAGTAGATCTGATCAAAAGAAATGTTTTTTTCCTTTAACATTTTTGTGGTAAAATTAAAGTAACAAAGTTATAGCCCTTTAGAAGTTTGAGTACCGCCCTGTCTCAATAATAATATTATGTGCTCGTGTTTGGCAACAACGGATATACTCCGCCTTATCGGTTCATCGCATCAGAAACAAAAAAGCGAAAGAATTTGAAACGCTGATCACGATGTTTTTATTCAGTCAATGTGTCAGTCGGTAACGCGTGAGTGAAAGTGGTGTTTGCTGCGTGGCTCAAACGAAATAAAAAATGGCACATGTTTATGCGGATCGGTTTCCCAATCGAGTGCAACCAACCCCTCGTGCCTTTGTTAATGTAGTACAACGGGCTCGTGAATCAGGTGACTTAAGACTTCACAGGGGAGGGCATGCCGGTGCTCCAAGACCTCACGATCAAATACAGGTCCGCACTGAAATACTTGTCGGGAGGATAGTTTATAAAACAAGGTAACATTTTTTTATTAATTTTTTTTTATTTTTACACACATATTTTGGTTTATCTTCCTTCTACAATCATTATCTGAAAATTAATAATACAAAATAATTTTTAAATTGTTCTCGTACTTCTTTGGCTGTTTTCGATGGGTTTCTAACGTTTGTAATCTGTAAAGGAACCATATTAGCTATAGGATTTCCTCCATTTCTCCCATTGATAACGTTCCCATCCTTTTCAGTATCAAATATTCCATTTGGGGCATATAAATGTGCCGAACTTTTTTGGGTCAGTAAGAAATTATGCAAAGAACATATTGCAAGTACAATTTTTTTAACCTTCTCTGGAGGTAGGTCTATTGGTCGTCTAAGAACACAAAATCGAGCCGAGATCAGTCCGAAAGCATTTTCAACTACACGCCTTGCTCTTGATATTCTGTAGGTAAAAACCCGATTAAATCCGGGTTGGTTTTTGAAAGGAAAAGGTTTTAATAAATAGGAAGTCAAGGCAAAAGCATCATCGGCAATAACAACAAAAGGTGCATCTTCAGATTCACCCGGTAATGGCCTTGGTTTTGGCATGTTTAACATGTTGTTTTCGAATGCTCTTGACAATGAACAGTTTGCATACATGCCACCATCAGATATGCGTCCATTGCATCCGACATCCACATAAAGAAATTTGTATTTTGCATCAACTAGTGCCATGAGGACTATGCTATGTGTTCTTTTATAATTAAATTAAAGACTGCCTTTATTCCTTGGTGCTTTCATAACCACGTGCTTGCCATCTAGAGCACCTAAACAGTTTGGAAAATTCCAAATCTTTTCAAATCCCTTTGCAACTTCATACCATTCTTCCTGAGAGTTTGGGATCTAAAAGAAAAAGTAATATTACAAAACTAAAAATAAGCTTATTCGCTACTTTTGCTTTATTTCAGGTTTCGTCGCAAGAGGAAGATTTTCTGGAGGAGTCTCAATTACAGAGCATAGAAAAACCAACAACATCAAATACTACAACTCATCGTTCGAAAAAACTAAAAACCAAAGCCAAGGAAAAAACGGACGAGGAAGGTGATGCAATGCTAGAAAAGGTTAATAACATACTAAATACACCAACTGACGAGTATACCGTATTTGGTGAATATGTTGCTAGTGAATTACGGCAGCTGCGTTCTGATGAACGAAAAAGAAGATTAAAACGAATAATCCAGAAAGCTATAGTTGCAATGAGCGAGGAAGATGAAGTGGAGTTTTCTGGATCAAGAACACTTACACCTTTAATGTCGCCTACTTATGCACATTCGAGTACGTATCCATCAACTTCAAATACGGTTGAAAGTTTTGAAGAGGCACCGATAACAAATACAACTACAAACCTTCCTCCAATCACGCAGTTTTACGAAAATTACTTACCTGGAGATAATCCGTTTTCAGCACAGTAAATATCCCTTCACAAACTTCAGGTATAATCCTTGAAATGGTCGTGACTGGAATCCGAAAAAGGTATTGCAGGGAATGATAGCTATCTCCTACAATTAAAAATGATTTAATTAGAAGTTGTTTTTGTTTGCTTTTTAAGTTAAATACATCCTAGAAAACAAACTCATGTCTTTCACCACTCACCTGTTGCTAAAAACCGTAAAGTAAGCATGAGCCGTTCTGAAGGTGAAATAGCTAGCCTAAGATGAGTATCTTGTTTCCTAATCAATGGTTCAACTTTTTGAAGCAAGTATTCATAGTCCTTATTACTCATGCGTAAAAAGTTAGCGTATGAATTCATTTCTTCGCTGTGTAATTCTTTCACCAATTGAGCAAAAAAACCACTATCCTGTCTTTTTGAAATCCAGCTCCTAACCCACATCCTTCTCTTCTTGTTTTTTAGCTGGAATAGATTTAATCTAGGAAATATCTACGAAGGTCTAGCGAGGGCCAAAATATGTTATAGTGTACACAGAACATAGACAAGTCTCACCTAGAGAACGTATCTAAATCTAAAATCTAGGTAGATTTTCTCTACAGTGTACACGTACCATTAGAGAGGGTCAAAGCGCGTTACTAAAGGGATTGAGGGCAACAAGGCATCTTCTTTGACATTATCTCAAGAAATCTGATGTTATGGAATCCTGAAATCACTATTTAAATTTACACGCCTACAGGCGAAAATTTTCGAAAATGAGATTTGTTTTTTGGACGTGAGACATGTACATCACGAAAAATCATACTATTTTCCGTCTGCTTTTGTAGTTCTTGAAAATCGTTCAGTAACGGCGGAGAAAAATGCCGAAAACAAAAAATAAATAAGCGCGCAAACTTCATTTTCCGAAAAATCATTTTTACATTAAATAAATCTGGGCATGGTGGTTGTAGGGCGGTGGGGAGGGTAAATCTCAATTTCTTGATGTTAGTATTACTTCCAACCTTGGTCATTCTATGCACCTATTGTGCAAATTTCACACATCTTCTTCGTAGACTAGCTCTTAAAATATTCTAAGCAGACATATCGCGTACCTACCTGCTGCGTCTGATTGTCCTTCCGGCGGCGTGGCGCTGGACTTGATGAGTGTTCTGGTATTACATGTATTACTGCCGAGCCACAGCATAGTGTTTTCTATGCTGTGACCGCGTGGCCACTTCTAGCTCGCGCTATTACGTAAAAAACCTATATGATAATAAATATTCCGCGCATGCTACAAGTGAACATGAAGTGATCGACAGCTACTTCCAGGTTGACATCTTGTAGGAAAACATACATAATATAAAAAAAAATCCGTCTTAATATCATTTTACAAGTTACATAGTACCCCCGCCGGTTAGGCACCTTGGAGAGGCGACGTTGCCAGATGGACTGTTGGTAGACAGGGAAAGAATTTCTACGGACCTGCTTGACTGATCCTTTTCTCATATGGTCTAGTTTTTGCTGAATATAATTCTTTATGTTGCGATTGCTATTATAGTTTTACATTTCGGGAAACTATGGTATGGCGACGATATTATAAAGGAACAGGGGCCGTTCAAGTATTACGTAAGCAGATTTATTACAATTATTTATCCCCCATCCCCCTGGTCAGCAAAAGTAAGCAAAGCTCTTACCCCCCCCATGCTTACGTAAACATTTGTCAATTAATGTATTGTTTTTTTAATATTATAATTATAACGTTATAATTATAATTTGAAAAAAACAATTTAGGATTTAGGATAGAGATTATATTTTACTGATACGGCATTCAACATAGAGTAAAGGACAAAAATATTATATCTTACTAACATAACAAACTTATTTTAAATTTTTGGTACATATATTAAATTCAAATTAAGTCTTCAGTCCATGAAACCCGAATCCATGATCCTAAGTTTTCGATGACATTGGATTGCTTCGATTGCTGCTCAGTGTTGTGAGTTTGCTCGCGTTCATCGGATTTTGGAATGTCTACGTCATTCTCATCGAGCCATTCAACATCATGATGCTCTAAATTTTGAATATTGTACATCAGTTCATTAGCACGACGAGCAATGACTCTTACAGGTCTAACTTTCCTATCTAATTAATGAGTAATTAACAATCGAGTCTTAACGACTTGGTTTTGTATTTCAATTATTAATCAACACACAACAAATCCAATAATTTAATATCTAACAATTTTGTACGTAATGTGACTCGTGCGTTTTTTAGGGCTGTTGAATTCTCGATGAGGCAAGTAACCTTAACGCTCCGATTCTCAGCGCTTGCTCGCTAGCTGGTATAATTAATGTTCTCTTCTTTTAAAAAACTTACTGAAGCGATTTAAACCCGGTTTCTATCATTGTTATTTTTGTTACAAACAAACATTCAGGATTCACTCAGTTGCCATGAAATTTACGAGAGAGTATAAACAGGAACAAGCAATTATTTATCTATCTATTCAGAACTGGCGTGGTTAAAACGTGATTTACACGTAGAAATAACGACATCTTCAACTTGGAATAGAGGAGCCAAGAAGTTTTTTTGGAGGATCGCTTGACTGGTGGCAAATTTTCACATGATGGTGTTTCTTTTTAACAAGAGTCTATTTTTATACACATGTTGTCGATTTTTTAAATTCTGTCCCACCGCGACATTGCCTGTACATGGATCAGTTGTATGTTGCAATGTGTGATATTCCATAAACACCAAAAGAAAGAAAAAATATAACGATGAGGTGTATACCTATGTAGGAGATGATTTTTGAATGAATATTTGATATAAGTTCAATAATATGATGCCCTCCTTTTGAACGTATCCATTTTGATGAATTCTTCTTGAAACTACGTGTATCACGAAACTGTTTTGAACCTTTGGGTACATGCTTATATAATTTGGTAGCCAAATAGACATGGGATCACTTCATTATGGTCTGATGAGGTTTAGGGAGATTTTTCACAAAAAATATTTTAAAGTAGAGTCTTTGAGTTATATTGCTTTCAATAAAACAAATGATGGTCAATTTTTGTGCAGCGAGGAATGCATATTGTGATTTTTGTTATATTTGCTCTTTTTGAGTAGCTGAAGCATTGACGACTTTTCCATTGGGATGAACCATTCATTCCGTAAACTACCAAACAAGAAGTACCTTTTCGTTATTGCTTTCAAATACAGTTTTAAACAGCTTACTCTGCGAACAATACACATACCTAACTTTGCTATATCCTTTTTTAATGAAATTATTTACTATTTCTTCTTCATTGTGTTTTTCTGAACATCTGTAATTAACAGTTGTGATCTTGGGGTTGAACATAACGGGCTCCATGATGTCAATGAGTTTAATTGTGATCCGTCCATTTTTTGAATTCTGTACATTATCAACTTGTATCTCCACTTCCGAAAGTTCAAATGTTGTTGTTTAAGTATTTTCGTGTTTCTTCTGAAGTTTTATTTTGATTTGGCGTAACATCTATACTTCTTATTGGGTCATCCTATCGGGAGTTCCTCAGGGATCAATATTGGGCCCCTTGTTATTTTTAATTTATACATCTGATATCCTTACATCTTTAAAGTTTTGTAGAGTTCAGGTTTATTGTTTTTTTGATGTTGAGGATTACAAATATTACGAAAATTGTATAAATGAGGATATTAACACCTTGAACAATCTCTCATTAGGTCACAACTTAAAACTTATTCCGGAAAAATCGCATGTAATGATTTTTGGTAAAAAATCTAAGACTGAGTTTTTGATAACTAATTTCAATAATGACTAATAATTCAAAAATGAAATTTGTGGAAGGTACAAAAAATCTCGGTATAGTTTTAGATTCTCAGCTCAGATTTAAAGATCACCTAAATAATCTTATGCAAAAATCAATTTGTTCTTTAAAAGTTTTGTATAATAACAGACACATACTAGACATATCACTGAAAAAAAATTGTGTGATTCCCTAATTCTTTCCAATTTCAATTATTGTGATTTTGTCTATAGGTTTTGCTTAGATCAGGCAAGTAGAGGTCGTATTCAGAAGATGCAAACTACGTGCCTCAGGTTTACCTATGGTCTGCTTAGGTTTGATCATATAACTCATTTGTATAAAGAAATAAAATGAATGAGCGTCGCACTCTCCATTTTTCTAGTTTTTTATCAAAAATTATAAATACTCCAGGTTCACCTGTTTCTATGAGAGAACGCTTAATTTTCCGACATTCTGTTCATGATATACATGTAAGATATTTAAAAAAATTGTTACTATGCCGCTTCATAGTGGTGCATTGTTTCAACGTTCATTCCCATAGAATGCTGTTAAACAATTTAATTCAATTCTCAACCAGTTTCTCAATCTTTCTCTTTCAAGTTTCAAAATACAATATAAGAAATATTTGCTAAATACAAATCAGAACAAACTTTTTTTAGAATAGAGATTGAAGTTTAAAATATAGGTATATAAGTTAAAAAAATATGTCAAGCAAATTTTATAGTAACCAGTAACAAAATTTTATAGTGACCAGTATTAATTAATATCTTGTTGAAATTTTAATTTACTTTCAGTCCATTTAGTGTCAATACGGGATTATTGTTTTGATTATTCTGTATTGTTGTTTGAAGACTTATTACTATTATTTTTTTTGTCTTATTTTGGTTCAGTAGAGTAGCTTTATTATATAATGTATTCTGTACATTTTTCTAAATTACTTTTGTAAAAAGATTATTGTATTCAATAAAGTCATTTATTATTATTATTATTATTTTTTTCATGCTCATAGTTCTCACGTATGGTGGGGAGGGGGAGTTCACCCCAACCAAGGATAGTTTTTACAGAGACAGTGCCTTTCTCACAATATGACACGTTTGTAAGATAACGGCTTTTTGGAATAGTATGTGAAGGCCGTTTGGAAGGTCCAAGGTCTTTAAGCTTGAGGAGACTTGTTTGGTAACAGCCCCTTCCACAGAGATAACAATGGGTACAATCTGCACTTCCCTTAGCTTCCAAATCCTCTTCATTTCAATCGCCAGGTTCTGGTATTTAACAGATTTTTCACGCTATACCTTGAGGATGTTGTGTGTAAGCGGAATTCCAACCTCAATTATCTGTGCATATTGGTTGCTTTTGTCTATCAGGACAATATCGGGACGGTTAAAGTCTACAGTTTTGTCGGTTAGAAATGGCCGATCCCAATAGAGTATTACATCTTTTGATTCCGGAACTGGCTCAGGCGTGTACTTGTAATATGGCGGAGGAGATTGTACCAAGTTAAGTTTACGAGCTAGCTGTGAATGGATTATTTTTACAACCTGGTTGTGTCGTCCCAAATAATCGCCAGCTGCCAACGCAGGGCAAGCTCCAGTAATATGGTCGATGGTTTCGCCCGCCTGGTTGCACTTCCTACATTCATCTGGGACGTTGGATTTGAGAATATGTTTTTCATAGTTTTTTGTTTTTATTACTTTGTCCTGGATG